CTAAACCCTGGAGACAGTTTCTCGCCCACTTTCCTACAGCAGAGAATTGACAGTGTTACGAAGATGACTGTCTTGAATACTCATCGTTTTGATGATGGAGGCAGGAGGGACCTCCGAAACGGTAAACATTTACCAGGCCACATCCCAGAAGACAGCCATCTTCGGACTTAAAACCTCAAATCCTGACAGTATTACCATTGTAATCGGGGTGTCTGGATGATTTCATTGTGCATTGTGAATTTCTTATGTTTATCATAAAAGAGCATCCCACCTTTGTTCGACATGTTAACCCGTTTGAGTCCAGTGGCAATCACACATACCACTTACGTTAACGATGTGTAACCCTGCGGTTTGTCCACATGGCATATCTGTGGGTCTCGTATGATTTTCAAAGAGATTATTTCCTCAAACAGCTTTATAAAGTTGCTCTTATAACGCAAAGTCTTTTGTCATGTAAAATGTCAGATCAGATAAACCGTGTGATATGTCGAGTACGTAATCAGTGAGACTATTCAAGGCAGCCATGGTTACAGACTGTTTCATATCCAAAGCACAAGATAGACCCTCACAAACAAAGCACACCCTGTATATTGAACACACAAAGTCAAAACGGTATCATACATGAATTGTATTTTGTACTGTGTACCCGTGTTATTGTGTTTCAGACAGTAAAAAGCGCCAGTTATCCTCAGATATTTTTATTATCGTCAATCTGAAGTCGACTGGAGACCGAACTAACTTCGGAACACCCTGTACATGCACTATTTTTTTTTTTAGAATTCCTTCTACGAAGAGCGCCGTGGGATTCGAATGGCCTCTGGGTACAAGTGTTGCTGCTGCGATGTCTGCCTCAAAGGGGCAGCTGGCAGTCAGCTGTTTAATTTAAAACAATTTCTGTTTCAGACCGGCGCCATTGAGGAGACGCAGAGCTAACAAGCGACGATTTGCGCGAGGGACTTCGCATTCTGCCAAAGGTAGGGAGGAAGGTGATCAGTCAAAGGGCCCGACTTCTCGTAGAAGCGTTTGTTTATAGGCGTTCTTTGCGCGGAGAATACTGACAGCGTTATCTCAAGATTTTAATGACCGTGCCTTCCCTCGTCACATTGTGTGAACCGGCGAGCATTTTTATTCTGTAAACTAGTTTGAGTTGACTGTATTTTATTCAGTCGCTCCCAGGCTTCTTTTATGTATTAATATTTGACAGCGGCCCCCCTTTTTTCACCGTCCTACCTCCATTTTCGGGGTGACGAGTTCAGCATCTCAGAGGACAGACTCTCTTTTGAGCTGCATGTTATTGTCTGTAACGCTGTTGATCACAGATCGTAATTATCATGATCTGCCTTCAACAAAGCTACGCTGTTAACTTGTTGAAGCCGACGCTTGATGAAGAAAAAGAATTGCAAATTTAATCTTAACCGTAAAGAAGACAGCGCGTCTCCATGACAACGACCATCTGGTTAGTAATGTTTAAGGAAATATTCGCTGTCTATTCTGAGACTAATATGAAATGTATTCTGTGTTGATTGTTAAAGCAAGTGGTAGACGTGCTTACCACCGGGCATTAAAGGCGCCCCTTCTGTCTCTCCCAGCAGCTCTTAACATGGTTTTCGAAGCCCTTTCATGTGGCAGTTTGTGATTTTGTTTTGGGATCTTGTGGTGTGCAATTTGACATACGTTTTAGGGAGTTATTTAATTAATATTGCCTATTAATTTACTGTTTGTGACAGAATTAACAGACCTCTATATGCATTACATACGATACTTGTCAGAGAACGCGCTGCTGTATTGGCGTGGGGGTTCCCTCTGTTTTGTCAGTCTGTCTGTCTGTCTGCAGTGTTGTTGCTACGAAACCATCAAAATACCCCCCTCCCCCTCCCCAGGAGGCCTCAGGCCGAGCGGTAGTCATGAAATTTCTTAACCATCATCACTCAGCTTAGATGATTGTTACGTCAAACAGAAGAAGGGCAGTAACAGTTGCTGATTTACTGTCTCTGGCATTATTTTCGAAAATAAGTTTAATTTTACAAGTGTATCTAACAGTATTATATATTTTAATTAATCTACAGGGTGATCCAAAAGTGACGGCGCATTTTGAAGTAATCACGTACATGATTTTTTTCTTATGATTTTGCTTTTAATTTGATTACTCTTCGTGCGTACTCGGAAACGCACACACAAATGCTCTAAATGAAGGCACTGTCACGACATTTACTTGACTTACTGAGAAGAATCACCAGATCTTCAGCTAAGATCGCCGGAGACGGGTGTTCAAACCCGCGATCTCACCAGATCTTCAGCTAAGATCGCCGGTGACGGTGTTCAAACCCGCGATACTCTGAATGCAAAATGGATGTACCAACTGGCCGGTGTGCCGCGACCTTCTGTGGTATTGAAACTTGTGTGGTGTAATCCATCGGGACCCTAGACCGTCGCAAGTGAGCCCAGGGTGTTTTTGGGACTCACACCTTGCGATTTGCCGAAAGAATTTTCCAGCCCTTGTCCCTTCCGTGAACAGTAGCTTCGTTGTTCTTTGTCTAGAGGAAATTGCTGAAGGAACTGTGAGACCAATTAGCAGAAAATGTTCGTAATTTTGAACTGCATTACGGTCGTACGGTGGAAATTAACTCAGGGCGTTTCTTCCCAAACAGCAGTAATCATACTTTGTTTCTACCTGGAGTTCTCCCCTAAGGATATCTTGGAAAAGTCCTCAGCTGTTCCAACAGGGTGTCTAATAAGAGCAATATAATCTTTGTCGATTCTGGGTTTCTGGGCTCTGACGCCATGTATCCGAAAACGTCGGTAATCCCGTAAGAGTCCACATCTTCACCGCTGTTAGTGCCTCTAATTTCAGACAGTGCATTATGAATTAGGGTTACACGTGACGATTCCTTCCGAATCTCTGAACCAAAATACGTTGTCTGTACCGTAAATCATTTTTAGCAGACCTGCGCAGAAACACCTCGCAGTAGAGGGAACTGGTACACGTCAGAGCGAAGCGTGTATAATCTGAATGAAGTTTTGCAAGGAGGAATGTTAATGCAAAGTGTTTTTAGATGCTCCGAGTATCACGGTCCGTGCGAAACAGTGTAGTCTGGAATAAACTGAATTCTGATGAAATTTGGTAGTTATGTAGCTAAAGTATGTACCAAATCGAGTTCTGATTCGAATTAAGCAGGTCGAATTACTGCTTTCGTCAAGTCGTAAAGATGATGACGTCGTGTCATGATTAATGAAAAATTATTTCAACCTGGAACTACGTGCCAGGCACCCAGGCACCTTTTAAGACTGCCCCCCCCCCCACTCCCTTCGTGACAGAAATGCTAGTCCTGCAGGGTCACTTATCTTTCTCTACGCGTTAACACATTTTTTGAACACACAGTACTGTTCATTCCGCATCGTCGATGTTAGTTCGCATTGTTCCCACCAGACAGCAGGTATGCATTGCAATTAAGCGCAGAGTTCCTGGTCGCCCCACGGAGATGAACACATTAAGAAATTAAACTGTGAAATTAATCCAATTGGATTCTGAAATTATCTAATTCAGAATGGAATAAAGAGCGGCTCGTGGGGCGTTTTGGGGTTGTGCCTGGCCGCTCAGGGTGACAGAACCGCGCTCTCAGTCGTTCAGATGTTAGCCGAAGGCAGGACTGAGGGGCTGGGAGGGCCGGTGTTCGATTCTGCCCCCAGCACCGCGTATCAGTTCTGTGACTTGTCGACACTCGTATCGTGAGATGGGAACCGAGGGCTGTTTCCCCGCTGGCAGAACGGCCAGAGCTTGAAGCTACTCACCTCTTCCCATTTTGAGAAACTGTACTTTGTCTCTAGTACACTGGAAATTCTGGTTTGTCTCAACGCACGTGCGCCTTGCTCCTACCAGTCGAGCAGGTCGTCTCAGCGGTAACTTCCATCCCGTTGGTTCCAAGTTAGAACCACGTCTGAAATTTATCGTGGTTTTCTTCGGTAAAGCTCCACGTATTGTTAACTGGGCAAGTGAATGGACAGTTTCATCCTCCAGCCATCTTTACCCCCCCCCCCCTGTTATCCTTTGGTCGGGAACTGGATAGGAACAGATGACGATTGTGTGTGCGATAGTCAAATATTTGCGGCCTCTCCTCCCGAAGAAGGATCCAGTCGAAACATGCCCCTTTCAGATGCGAACAAGAATTTAAAAGTTGGCAGGGACTGGTAAGTCCTTCACATTCTCAGAAGTCTGTGGAGTGAAAATGTTAGCCTTTCTTTTTGCCTTGTTCTCCCTATGCTTCTTATTCTGTCCCTTTCTCTCCTCCATTCTTGTATTCTTCTGCACCCATTTCGTCTCTCTTAATCCACGTTTTTTTTTGTATGGATTATTTTCTTTCAATTCTAAAGGCGTCTGACGACGGTTGTTTACACTTAAAATTATTTGTTGTCAGAACTTTTTCCATCGTCTGTTTTTTAAAATTCACGACGTTTCGGAGGCTGGTTCTGCCTCCGTATTCAGATGAGATGTACCTACTCTGTTGCACGATTTATATTGTCCAGTGACAGAGACTAGCTCTTTCTAAGGGAACCAACAGAGTAGGTACCTCTCACCTGAAGACGGAGGCAGAACCAGCCTCCGAAACGTCGTGAATTTTAAAAACAGACGATGGAAAAAGTCCTGACAACAAATAATTATTTTCTTTCCGTTTCTTATCGTACTGTATCTGAAAGAGTTTGTGCGACACCCGGTATCCAGTATGTTAATGTGTATTTATAGCGTTAGGATATACGAGCCTGAATTTGAAACGCAGGCAAAGTGAAGGACCGCTTTGAAAGCTCGGATAATGAGGACATCTTTCCTCTCTTGTGTGGAGCCACACACACACACGCGCGAATTTTGAGATAAATTTACCGCCGATTTACCTCTCCTGTTTGTATGAAAATGTTTCAGAGGGAATGGAGCCATCTTCAGCCGAAACTAATGTTCTAACCTGCCGCGTGTGGCGTAGCGTTTAATGTACCGCACACACACAGTTCTGTTGCCATGGAAACGTATTTCGTGAGAGACGTCACGGGTGAACTGGTTTTCGAAGCGCCGACACGTAGTTTTTGCTCGTCTTGTGTTGTGTAACAAAAAAAGGCGCTTATGGTATCGCCATATCCCGACCCCTTTCTAAGTCCTGATAACTTTTGAACCAATGAACGGATTGCGAGAGACAAAAGCCAACAGTACTCGAATTTGTGGAATTGCCTTTCAAAGGCGCGTGTACCCCAGTATTTTTTTTAAAGTGCAATATTTCGTTTCTCCTTCGTGTGCTAACCGAAGGGTGCAACCCTGTGGCGATGGCTTTCACTTGTTTTAAGGGACCGAAGCTGGCTTTGTTTCTCTCAAGGCCCTTGTTCAGGTCCATTTGTCACCCCCCTGTAGTCAGTATCGATCTTCGCCTGAATGACACACAGGGTGTTTGCCAAGGGTGCCATCGGGTGTTAAGAAATGTAGTCCTCTAGAGAAAGAAATGCTCATTGAAGCAAGTTTTTATCGTAGTTTAGATTTGGGGGAAGAAAGTGGTTCAGCCCAGTCGGCAGTGGTGATTGAATTAAATTCTATCGCGTACGAAGACGTGTTTTGTTCCCGCCCTGGAAGGAGGCCGGATACACCTGGTTCATGGTGTGGTAAAATTTTGGTTAAAGGACTTGAATCAAAGAAAAATATGGTATCCTATTTGGAGACAGCAAGTTTCCGAAACGTCGAATTTTTAAAAAAAAATCGTACTACGATCGAAAATGTAGAGAACTTAATCGTGCTTACGACATCACAATCTACAGAAACATTCTAATTTTATCCATATTTAAACCTCTTTTTTTTTTAGAGTTTTCAATTCATAATCTTGCAGTAATCAACGAGTGGACGTAATTTATATTTTGATTAAACGAACTTCATAAATGTAAGACTTGAGGTTCTCACAGCGGTGAGTATGAAGATTTCTGTCTTCTGGGTTGTTGCGCTGTGTAG